CATTACTGAAGTTCTGTAATAGATTTGAAGTCAGGGATGGTAATGTCTTCAGAAGATTTTTTATTGTATAAGACTGTTTTGACAATCCTGGGTTCTTTGTTTTTCATATAAAGTTGATTAATATCGTCTCAAGATCTTGAAGAATTTTGATGGGACTTAAATGGGAATAGCATTGAATTTATAAATTACCCTTGGTAGAATTGCCATTTTTACTATGTTGATCCTCCCAATCCATGATCAAGGGAGGTCCTTCCATTTTCTGGTATCCTCCTCAATTTCTTTCTTCAAAGACTTAAAGTTCTTGTCAAATGTGTCCTTCAGATCCTTGGTTAGAGTTACCCCAAGATATTTTATGCTATTTGTGAATATCATAAAAGAGGATGCTTCTCTGATTTCCTTCTCTGTTTCCTTATCCTTTGTGTATAGGAGGGCAGCAGATTTTTTTTGGAATTGGTCTTGTATCCTGCCATGCAACTAAAGGTGTTTATCAGCTGTAGGAGTTCTTTGCTGGAGTTTTTAGACTCGCTCATGTACACTATCATATCATCTGCAAATAATGAAAGTTTAACTTCTTCCTTTCCAATTCAAATCTTTTGGATCCCCTTGTGTTGCATTATTGCTATTGTGAGAACTTCAAGCACTATATTGAAGATGTATGTAGAGAGTGGACAGCCTTGTCGTGCTTCTGATTTTAGTGGGATAATTTTGAGTTTCTCTGCATTTAATTTGATGTAAGCTGTCAGCTTGCTATAAATGGCTTTTATTATAGTTAGGTATGACCCTTGTAGCCTTAATCTCTCTAAGACCTTTATCATAAAGGGTTGTTGAATTTTGTCAAATGTTTTTTCAGCATCTAATGAAATGATCATATTTTTTTTCTTTCAGTTTATTTATATGATGGATTACATTGATAGATTTGTGTATGTTGAACCAGCCCTGTATCCCTGGGATGTAGCCTACCTGATAACAATGGATAATTTTTCTAATGTGTTCTTGGATTCGTATTGCAACTATTTTATTGAGGATTTTCGCGTTGATGTTCATGAGTGAGATTGGCCTGTAATTATTTTTCTTGGTTGAGTCTTTGTGTGGTTTTGGTATCAGGGTAACTGTAGCTTCATAAAGAAATTTGGCAATGACTTTTCTGTTTCTTTATTGTAAAATATATTAAGGAGTATAGGTATTAGGTCTTCTTGGAAGTTCTGGTAGAATTCTTCATTGAAATTATTTGGACGTGGGCTTTCTGTGGTAGGGAGTTTTTGTATAACAACTTCTAATTCTTCACGACTAACAGGTCTGTTTAGATTGCTCACCTGGTTCTGGGCAAACTTTTGTATATGGAACTTATCTAAAGAGTATCTGTTTCTTTAATATTTTTCAATTTTATGGCATATAGGCTTTTGTAGTAAGATCTAATGATTTTCTGAATTTCCTCTGTCTCTGGGGTTATGTCTCCCTTTTCATTACTGTTCATGTTAATTGTTAATTTGTGTATTCACTCCTGGTCATTGGCTTAGTGTGAATAGGGATTTATCAGTCTTGTTTACTTTCTCTAGGAACCAGCTTTTTGTTTCATTGATTCTTTGGATTGTTTTCTGTGATTCTATTTTGTTGATTTCATCCCTCAGTTTGATTATCTCCAGTCTTCTTCTCCTATTATGTGAGTATGCTTCTTTTTTTCTAGAGCTTTCAGGTGGGCTGTTAAGTCTCCAATGTGTGCTTTCTCTGTTTACTTTAAGTGAGCACTTAGTGCTATGAACTTTCCTTTTTGCACAGTTTTCACAGTGTCCCATAGGTTTGAGTATGTTGAGTCTTTATTTTCATTGAGTTCAAGAAAGACTTTAATTTCTTTCTTTATTTCTTCCTTGATCCAGGTGTGGTTCAGTAGTTGGCTGTGCAGTTTCCATGAGTTCATAGGCTTTCTAGGGGTAGCATCATTGTTGAATTCTAAATTTAATCCATGGTGATCCGATAAGATACAGGTTGTTCCTAATATTTTCTTGTAACTGTGTAAGTTTGCATTGTTAACAATTATGTGGTCAATTATCGAGAAGGTTCCATGAGCTGTAGAGAAGAAGGTATATTCTTTCCTATTTGGGTGGAATGATCGATAGAGGTCTGTTAATACCATTTGATTCATTACCTCCCTTAATCCTCTTCTTTCTCTGTTAGTTTTCTGTCTGATTGACCTGTCCATTGGAGAGAGAGGATTGTTGAAATCTCCTACTGTTAGTGTGTGTGGTTTGATGACTGCCTTGAGTTTTAGTAATGTTTCTTTTACATAAGTGGGTGCTTTTATATTATGGGCATAGATAATCAGGATTGAGACTTTGTCCTCATGAATTGTTTCTGTTAAGAGTAAAAATGTCCATCTCCATCTACTCTGATTGATTTTAGTTTGAAGTTGACCTTTTTGTTTGTAATCTCTAATTGTTTATGGCAGTTTTTACCTCCTTTTTAAGGTCCTCTATTATTTTCATATAATTCATTTTGAGTCGATTTCTTCTAATTCTTCTGGAGTAGGCTGGACAGTTCTACTTATTTCAGGATCCCTGGATTCTGGTGATGTCATGTTGCCTTTCAGGTTGCTGGAGGAATTCCTGCATTGGCACTTTCCCATCTTTTCCTTCAAATGGAGCCAGGAGAGGCCTGGTGTCTTGGTACAGACTTTGCTGTGATGACTCTCTGGGTGTATCTCCTCAGTGTAGAAGCAGGAATCATTCCACTCCATATGAAACTCCTCAGCACCGAAAAATGTATGCCTTGTAATCCAATGACCCACAGACAACTGCGCAAACTTGTGGGGCAGGGCTAGGTCCAGTAGAGCACAGGAGACCCTGCCACCAAGCTGAAGATTCCCATACTACATTTGGGGTCCTTGAGGCCTGCCCGGTAGGCAGGCACTCACCTCTCTGGGTGGGTAGCCTTAGTGTAGGAGCAGAAACCTGTTCTGCGCAAAGGACCTTGCAGACCACACCGGCTTTGGGGGAGTGTTAAAAAAAGATAGCCTTGCAGAAGGAGCTGTGGGAGAAGGGTTTGTGCTCTCTTCTGGGACAATCCTCCACTGGATAACACACATTCACCAGTCCAGATGGAATTCCTCAGCACCAAAACAGGGACAGCAGGTAACCCAATGAAGCTGGGATAAAAGGAAGAACGTGGCAAGCATGGCAGGGTCTAGAATAGCACAGGAGACTCTGCCTGCAAGCTGAAGGTGCCCGTGCTACTTTTGTGGTTGTTGAGGCCTGCCCGGTAGGCAGGCACTCACATCTCTGGGTGGCTAGCCTCAGTGTAGGAGCAGAAACCTGTTCCTGAGCAAGGACATTTCAGAGCAAGCAGGCTTGGGGGGGTTGTCGGTAAGAAAGACAGCACTTCAGAAGGAGCATGGGGATGGGGGTTTGTGCTCTCTTCCGGGATTATCCGCCCCTGGATCACACACACTCACCCCTCCAGATGGATCTCCTCAGCACCTAAACAGGACAGCTGGTAGCCCAATGAGCCTCCTTCTACATCTTTGAAAAAAGATGGTTAATTTTGACCATCTTCACAAAAAACTGGAAGTGAACACATCAGGCAGGTGATGCTGAAAACTGCTCAAATTCCTGAAAAAGCTATTCCTTACATAGAACCTACTTTGGTAAAGCCCACACAGGCACACAGAACAGAAAGACATCCACCTTCTAAGTTAGAGACTAATCAATGTGCCCATAAGTAACTCAGTGTATCTCCATCTGCTCAAACACTGCTGGTAATTTCTTTACCTACAAAAGGAACTGTAGAATTTTGGGAATCTGCCCAAGAATCTAGGATCTTCCCTATGTGAACAAGGGTCTCTAACACTATCTATATCAACACAATGAATTGTAGGGACTCTGCTACAGTCTAATAGGGCTTTGAAACATCTAATTTCTTCCCAATAGTCTAAAATTTTTCTTCATCTCTCCAACATACTATAAGGTTTACAAGACGTACAGAACATAACAAATCTAGCTAGAAACATCAGGGAAATTTTTGTCTTCACTAGAACACATAGAACATTTATCATTTTCTCTAGGTGCTCAGGAAAATCCCTTATATAATCCATGGTCTCTAGGAAATTTGCTATTTTGAAATTTCCTAATGGAGTCTCGACAGCTACAGAGGTAACTTTGCTTGCCCAAGTACTTTGTCTTTTATGCAAAGGACTTCAAAACAGTCAGTATATTCTTCAAAAAATTTGAGGAAATAGCAATATTCCCAGAATACCTTGGGGCATTTTTCAGGTGTGAGAGAGGGTGTGGAAACTTCTCAGTCTGCTGCAAGCATAATAGACACTTGGTAACAAACTCTAATGCCTAGGTGATTTCTAAGTTCTGCCGTAGATCTGCAGATTCTTTTTTCCCTTCTGGCTATGGGAATATAAGAGCTTTGAAACCTGCATATGGGCCTCTGGAACATGTTATATCATCTGAGGAAATGCTGAAATTAGCATAATTAGCTGAAGAGACTCTGCAAATTTCTACACTTTTCAAAGCAGTTCCAGTGCCATATAAAAATTCTCCATCTACCCAAGTGACCAGGGGAACATTCCATGTGTACCAGGGCATCTGGGTGTTTTGTCATCAAGATAAACAACTCCAGCATCTTCTTGTTCTGATGAAATGATTGTAGGAACATGCCCACCATCACAAGGAACTCTGAAATTGTCCAAATCTGCACAGGGACTCTTAGAGTATTCCTATGCTTCAAAGGACACTGTGGAGAGTCTCTTACCTGCCAAAGGCACAATTGGAAATTTGACATCTGTAAGAAATACAGTAGGACATTTTGCATCAAGGACAGAACCTCTGATGTTTATACAAAATACCCAGACACTGTTAGAATCTTTGCAATCTAGTCAGGTATATTTGTGAGTGTCAGGGTGCAGAAGGGCTTGTGGCCCCTTCTGTATCCACAAGGGTCTTTGGACTTATCTGTGTCTGCAAAAGGAACTCTAGTGACATTGCTGTGTAATCAAGGAACTAGGAAGTATCCTGCTTCATCCGAAATCCCTCAGAAAACTTCCCTGTCTGTGCAAAATTCTTTACAGTATCCACCATCTGTCGCCAGATCTCTGAAACCTTCTCAATCTGAAAAGAGCACACGAGGGTCTTTGTCCTCACTTCAAGGTACTGGAATATCTAGCTCTGGTTCTCAGGAAATATTCCAAATTTCTGTGAGTTCAGGATATCCTGAACATTTTCTATATTTTGGATCACCTCTGGAAATTTCTTTGTATGCACAAGGAACTCTGTGATTTTTTTTTCATTTCCTCATGGAGAACTTTATCTTTACCTCATTTTTTTGCTAATCTATAATCATCTCAACTTGTCCGAATGAATCTCAGCCATTTGTCTTCTGTCAGAGAGCCTGTGGTAATCTGTCCATTTATCCCAGGTCCTACATAGTCTTCACCATTTAATAAAGTGCCTAGAAGATTTTCATCACATGTCCCAAGTAATCCAGCATTTCTAATCTCTGCTCATCTGCCTCAAGAAGTTAGTGTATCTGATCACTGAGTCCATCAGCATCTTCAAAAGGAACTCTGGGGCCTTTGTTATCTTCTGCAGACATCCAAGTAAAAGTCCAAAATACAAATAGTTATCACGGGCAATGTCACTTAAAAGAGAGACATTAGAAACTTCTCCATCTCATGAAGGAAGTTCAGTATATGATCCTTGTCCTCAGGAGACTCTGGGACTTTACTCCTTTTCCCAGGTGAGCTAATCAACTTTTCAATGTCCTCAAGAAACGTTAGGTTCCTGTGTATTTACACAAGGGTCTAGCCACGCTGCACAAAGGAGTCTAGGACAACATACGTGCTCAAGGGCTACCAGGGACTTCCTCATATACACAACATACATTATCAAGTTCCCCTCTGCACAAAGTACATTAGCATATGCATCATGTACTGCAGAGTCTCAGGGATATAGCCAGCATGCCAAAAATGGTAGAAACTTTGAAATCTGTTCCAGGGTCTCAAAAATTTTTGTAGAACTTTTGCTACCACCCTGGGACTCCCCAAGATAATCATCATTTTCATCAGGCATATGCAAAACTTCTACAACTACCTGATGACATGTGGAATCTGATGAGCCATGGGAACATTCTGTATATGCCCCAGAAAACTTGAGTTATTTCCATTCTTTCCAGTGCCTTTTAAAATCTAAACTGTCAGAAGAAGAAACTTTTCGTTACTCTAAATCTATGCAAGGCTATCTAGGGCCCTATGTTTCATTCTATGGGACCTCTTCGATATTGGAATTCTGCACAAAGGGTTCACCAAAGAAATCCATCTGCTCCAGACACTTTAGGAACTTTGACTTCTTGAAAAGGGCAAATGATGATTCCTTTATCTGGGCAAAGCACTCTATCCTCTTTCCTAGAGTCTTTGGAAATTTCCTTATCTGTTCAAGTGAGTTCCAGACATTCATTATCTTTACTAGAAGTTGTGGAATCTTGCCTTTATTCATGTGGAAAAAACACTCTGGAAGTTACTACCTGTGCACATGGAAATCTAGTGTTATCCAATTCCTCAAGAGTGGATTTGATATCTTCATTATCTACTCCCATGACTCTAGGATTATTTCCACATAACAAAGTGGAGTTAGGAATATCTCCGTCTGTTTCATGGATGCTCAGACCTCCTGTGTCTATTCAGGGTGTTCCAAGAACACCTACATCTTCCCAAGAGGTATAGGAATGCATCGTTAATCAGAGGAAAACAGAGACTTTTCCATATGCCAATGATGATCTCTTTCCTATGAACTGATGCAAATTCTTAATTTTCAAAGTGGAACTTAAAAGACTGTTCATCTGCCAAAGGGGTGTTTAAAACTGCTCTGTCTATTTCAGGGCCTGTAGAAAAATTTCTATCTGCCTCAAGGACACAATGGCTTTTCAGTTCTACACTCCAACATACTGGGAGCTTTTCTCTATCTTCCCAAAATAAATCAGAACTGTACACACCTACTAGAAGCATCTAGATTCTTCACCAAATGTCCAAACTTATCTAAAACATTCTCTATCTTCCCAAGAGTCTCTGGGACCTACCCCACCTACACCAGGTACTCTGGAACATTCCCCACTTGATCAGTTGTGGTAGAAAATATCTGTATACACAAAAGTGACTCTAGGATAAACAACACATCAGAAGGTATATGAAGGACGTTCATTATCTCTCCAAGGTACTTTGTGATAGTCTATATCAGGACAAGAGTCTCTAGGACATTGCCCATTTGTCCAAGGGTCTACAGAGTCATCCAGACCTTCCCACAAAGTGCAAGACACTTCTTATAATCAAGGGTTTGTGGCAAAGTTCCCATCTCTCCCACAAGAAACACATATTTCCTGCCCAGGGAATATTGTAATATGTTTCAGCTTCTCAAGTTATTCTAGAAACATTTTCTTCTCTCCAGAAAGTAGAAGTTCTTTAGATGTGCATGGTGCTCGGCAACTTCAACCTGATTCACAGAGTAGTTGGGAAATTCCCAATGGATTCCAAAGTCATCAGAAACTATAACATCTCGCCTAATGGTTTTTAAATGTTCAGAGTCTTCATCTGTGAGTCTTGAAACATTGACACCTCTTCCGGTAAATCTGGGACATTCAATGTCTGCCCTAAATGCCCTGTTCCTTTCTGTTTCTGACTAATAAATTCAGGAAACATCATCTCTCCAAAAATCTGTTCATTTTTCTCTATCTTCTAAATGTTCACTGAGACCTACCCCTTCTGTACTAGGGACCTCCCAATATTTATTATCAGCTCAATTGTACTCAAAATTGTCTAGAGCTGCCAAAGGGATTCTCAGATTATCACCACTTAAGTAAGGGTGTTTAGGAGATTCATTATCCTGGCTCTTGGAACTTCCATATCAGCACAATCATTTGTAGGACATTCAAAATCTGAAAAAGAACCTCTAGAAATGTTCATATCTTCTCAAGAAGACCTAGAACCTTCTTTATCCCAAGAGGCTGGTGTACATTCATCATCAATTCCACAAGATTGTGGACCTTCTCGATCTTCAAAAGATCCTTTAGGAACATCAATATCTACACATGGTGCTCTCCAAAAGTCTGTAGTAACAGCACCATTATTAGCTCAAAGTGTTCCAAAAATTCATGCTTTTTTGGAGTGGCCTCTGCGTTCTTCCCAATATTGCTTAAGAGACAACAGATCCTTTGCCATTTTATACAGAGATTTGTCGTATTTTGAAATCTCTCTCAAGGCCTATAGACACTCTGACATCTAATATAGAGACAATGAGATTTTCAACAATTGCCAAAGGTGCACAGGCCTTCTATAACTGAACAAGTGACATTGAGATAACCAACAATTTCTTATAGAGCTCTGGGATTTTCTCCATCTAACCAACACTTTGTGAATGCTGCCTCATCTCAAAGGGGGCCTGATAGAATTTCATTTATGGACAAAGATTTAAAACAAATGTGTTCATGCAAACAGCTTACTTTATGAAACCACTGAAGCAAAACTGTCCAGTAAATGCATTGTCTGCACAAGGGGCTCTAGGAATGTCCATATCAGCAAAGAAATCTCTTTGACACTCACCATATTTTCATAGTTCTTCAGATACTTCCCTGCCACTTGAAGAGGCTTCAGGCACTTGTTTGGAACAAGGGCATCCAGGGCAGTCCTTATCATTAGCATTATCTGATCAAGGAGACGTTGGGCTATCTGAATATTCAAGGGGGCACTAGAAACACCATGATCTACCCATAGCACTCTAGAAATACCATCTTCTACCAAAAGGAATATAGAACTACACCACCTGTCCAAAATACTCTAGCACATCTCCTTTATTCAGTGCAGAGTCTAAAACATGCTCCCGTATGCCAGAGACATCAGAATATTTCATCTAACAAAGAGGCTTGTAATATATCAGACTCTTCCCCAAGAACTTCAGAAACTTTTCCATTTACCTCACGATCTCTGGAAATTTCATTCTCTGCCAAAGTACTGTGGGACCATCTATATCTGAGAAAGAAATTTAGGAGGATCAGTATCTATGGAGGAATCCCTGAAAACTTCTGCTCCTGAGCTAGCATCTATGGTTCCACTCCACCTGCATCTGGAAAGAGGTTCACTCTCCCTCTCAGAAAAAATGTTGTCGGGACACATCGTTATATTTACAAGAGGATTCACCAACTCAGAAAACCTAAGCCAGAGTTTTATGATTTCACAAAAGGCTCTGAGATTGTCTATTTCAGCAGATAGACATTCAATAAATGCTTTTGGGTCTCCAGATATTTTCTTATACCTAAATAGGCTTCAGGCACTTGTTTTGAACACTGGCATTAAGGACAGTCATTATCATTATCTGATCTAAGAAATCTTGGACTAGGGAATACTCAAAGGACCATGAGAAACATCACCATCTTTGCATAGCACTCTAGAAAAGGCGTCTTCTACCCAGGGGATTATAGATACTTCAGCACCTGCCCAAAATGCTGTAGCGCATATGGGTCTTTCAGTACAGACTCTAAAACTGCCCCCCCTTATGTGAGAGACATAAGAAATTTGGCATCCCCCAAGAAGCTGGTAACATATCAGACTCTTATCTAGGGATTTCAGAAACTTTTCCATCTATGCTAGAAACTCTCAAAATTTCATTCTCTGGCCAAAGTACTATAGGACCATCTGTATCTGCAAAAGAAATTTTTGGACCATCAGTATCTCTGGATGAATCTCTGGGACCTCCTCCACTGGACCTAGGTTTTCTAAGACCCACTCTACCTGCATCTGGGACTTGGTCATTATCCCATTCAGCACAACATTGTCAGGAAATGTCTTAAGTTGCACAAGTAGATTATCCTCTCAGCAAGGCTATACAGGAAATTCCTTGCATTCCCAAGAAGCTCTGGGACTGTCCATATCAGCATAGGAATCACTTGGACATGCATCATCTGCTCAAGAGTCTCCAGATAATTTTTGTTCTCCCAAGGGGCTTCAGTCCCTCCTTTGACACTTGAGACTTTAGGACAGTCATCATCTGATACTGGAACGCTTCAACTTTCTTACTCTCATTATGGTACAATTAAACTCCACCATTTCACAAAAGTTTTCTAGAAATAACATCTTCTTACAATAAGGTTACAAAAACTTCAACAACTTCCCAAGATTCCTTAGAATATCAACTTCCCCCAATGTAGACTCTGCAACCTTCCCTTACACAAGAGACCTCAGAAACTTTGCCAACAGCAAAAGAGGTTTGTAAGACCTCAGATACTGTGTCAGGTGCTTTAGAAACTTTACCATTCTTTGTAGAGGCTCTGAGACATTGTAATTCTGAAAAATGTACTCGAGGCCCTTCAGTATATAACCAGAAGAATATGGAGCCCCCAAGACGTATTCATTTTACATTTGGAAATACCACACCATCCCAATGGCTTCAAGAACCTATACCATCTACCCAAGAAGGAGTGGGAACTTTCTTTTCAATGGAGTCTTTAAGAATGTCTACTTGTGCACATGACAGTTCATTCCTATTCCTTCTCATGAGACTGTCTGAGCTCTTACTCTTTTCGCAATAAAAGCCATAGAAGTTCCAATTCAACCAAAAAATAGTGAAGCATGCTTCATTTATTAAATGAAGAATCAGATTTTTACTTTTAGAATTTAATGCCTTAAGATCATTCACATCTGCCAAAAGTAGGCTCGCACTTGCATATATATCAGAAAGGACTCACGCTCTACCGCTACCCCACCCAGGATTGTTTCCAAACAAAGTATCATCAAAATTGAACTTCAAATCTAGTTCCACTCCTACAAAATATCAAAGATGTTCTCCCTCTCGACTAGGTTGGTCAAAACATTTGTAATCAAAGAAAACAAAATCAAAACTTGATTCTAAAGAATCATGCCTCAAATCTGTACCAACAGAAGATGAAGGCTTGAAATTTCACCATTCTCCCAAAAACGGGGCAGAGATTTTGTTTCTATCAATGTTGCTGCAAGGCTTAACACTGAGCCTAAAGAGAGCCTCACTACTACTTCTGCAAAGGGAGTTTGAAATCCTCACAACCTTATTAGGAGGGCCTCAGATTTTCTCCTTCTTCCCAAGGAATTCCTAGATATTTCAAATCTACCAAAATCAAATTGGAACAGGTCCCCTCTAACATGGAAGTTGTTCATGTTTCCCATTCAGAACATGAAGGCTGCCTAATATGCTCTTTGTCCACAATAGAGTTCAAGGATTCACCCTCCAAAAGTGAGCCAGAAACAAAAAGCTACTACTCAAGTGTGCATAGAACCTTCCATGTCTAAGGGAGGCTGCAGATCCTTGCAATCACATGAGAAGTGTGGTAGAGGTATTGCTTCTCCCAAAGGCAGCCATCAATATTCAAGACCTATCAAAACTAAATGAGAACCAGCTCTAACAAAGCAGATATTCATGCTTCCCATAAAGAACATGGGGGCCGTAATCATCTCTCTTTGTCACAAAGAGGATTTAGACATTTTTCATCTCCAAAAGGCAAAGAAACCCCTCTGACAAAGATAATCAGACAAACACATATGTGATATATGGGATCTTACAACTTTCTGCTTTTAGATCACAGGACAGAAGGTGGAAAGAGAAAATTAGCTCTGAAGCCATCTGTCTCCAAATATGTTTTCAAAAATGCACTGTTTCTTAATATTCTTTCTTTAACCTGTGTATTTAGTGTTTTGATTATTAAATGGTGAGGGGATGATTTTCTTTGATCCAGTCTTTTTGGTTTTCTGTATGCTTCTTGACTATTCAAAGAAATCTCAAGGTCCAAATCAGGAGCAGAAGTAGAGAGAGAGAACGAGCATGGAACTCAGGACCGCGAGGGGTGCACCCACACACTGAGATAATGGGGATGTTCTATGGTTCACTCACCAAGGCCAGCTGGCTTGGGTCTGAAAAAAAAAACTGGGATCAAACCGGATTCACTGAACGTAGCAGGCAATAAGGACTACTGAGAACTCAAGAACAATGTCAGTGGGTTTTTGATCCTACTGCATGTACTGGCTTTGTGGGAGCCTAGGCAGTATGGATGCTCACCTTACCTAGACCTGGATGGAGGTGGGTGGTCCTTGGACCTTCCACTGGACAGGGAACCGGGAGAGCTCTATGGGCTGACAAGGAAAACGAACTTGATTGGGGGAGGGGGAGGGGGAGGGAATAGGAGGAGGAGGTGGGGAGGAGACAGAAATTATTAATAAATAAATAAACTGACATAAACAAAAAAATGCAGTGTTTCTATGTGTACAGATATGTACAGCTCAACACATCCTTGAGGAAACAATAATTCTTGCATTACTACTTAGGCTCTTGGAAGATTGTTATGAGATTTGCCTTAGACTATCAAATATTTCTCATTGGGTATGTATGTTTGCATTGTGAAAATTAGCTGGATGCTAGTGCAGAGCCAGACTCTTATTGATTACCCATGATGTCTTGCGACCTTCCACTTTTGATCCTGGATAAATTGCATATTACTATTTTACCAAATATAACTGGAGCCCTCCTCTCTTTGAATAAAAACAATTGGGATTTCTCATTTGCTGAAGATAGTCTCATAACTTTCCATTCTAAGAAGAGGTTTTCTGTAGTCCTGTTTCCAAGAGACCTCATATATCCATTGTTTAATGAAGGTTTCATGAGAACTTCCCTGTGTAAAACTGGGCCATCATCCTTTTCTCCATTAAGAATGTGTACTTACACCTAATCCACCTATCTCAGGAAGATTAGGAAGCATTGTCTTTGACTCAAGGAAACTCATACATTCCTTTTATTCACAAGGTGACATTTGAGATGTTATTTTGAATAATACTGCATCCTACCTTGTAGGATTCTGTCAAGAACTCTCAAGAATTTATTCTGTTTTAAACTAACTCCAAAATATGCTGCTCTAAATAAAAATGATTTAAACCTTTAATGTTTGGTACAGGTAGTTAGTGAAATGCATTGCTCCCTGTAGGTTTTGGGTCCCTGTCATAACTTTAAAATTAGAAACTGAATCCTAAGCTATGTTTTTCAATCAAATCACTAGAAATCAACTGGCCCCATCACAGCTGCCCATACATGGAATAAGTAAACAACCAGAGAAAGAAGAAAACATCTAGCTGCTGACGGGCACCAAGGCATAATGAAGAAAGCTCTTGCTGATGCCTAACTCTCCAAGAGACAAAAAAAGATAAGAAAGCTCTAAGGAAATATTGTAAGTTGAAGTGCAATAATGGGACATTCCTTCTCTAAATGGGTTAGTAAGAACATGTACCTACAACAGGATGGTGAATAATACTTCTCCCTTGTGTGCAATGGTTTTCCAACTTATACACTTGCCTGAAGTAATAAGGGCAGAAGCGGGGCTGCGTCCCCAACACCCCAGCCGCCTGCCCGGCTAGCTTATGCCTGAAATAACAACACACAAACTGTATTCATTTAATCACTGCTTGGCCCTTCTGCCCTAGCCCTTACTGGCTAATTCTGATATCCCGATCAACCAATCTGTAATAATCGGTGAGCACCAGTCTTACCGGGAAGATTCTAGGCTAGTCCATCCTCGGTCGAGCTTCATGGCGTGTGTCTGCCTGGGAGCTGGAAGGATGGCGTCTCCCTGAGGCGTCTGCTCCCGAGAGCAGAGCAGTGGAGTCTCTGACCTCACTTCCTCTTCCTCCCAGCATTTTGTTCGGTTTACTCCAACCAC